CAAAAAGCGGCGAAAGATTTAACGCAGGATCCTCAAATGCTGTATACAACATCGTATTAGGTGACGAATCCTGGATATACGCGTACGAACCCGAAAAAAAAAACCAGTCACGAGTTTGGGTGTGCGAAAATGAGTTAAAGCCAACAAAAATTGTTCGTTCACGGAGTGTTGCAAAAAAATATGGTGGCCACGTTTGTATTCAAAACCGGTCATGTTACGACTATTCCTCTTGAGGGATAAAGAACGGTTAATGCAGAATAGTATGCTAGCATTTGTTTGCCACAGGTCGTTTATGAACTCCGTAAAGAAAACTGCAACCGCCGCATCATCCTCCATCACGACAATGCGAGTTCTCACACCGCACACTGAACAAAAGAGTTTTTAGAGCAAGAAAATATAGAATTATTAGACCATCCGCCGTATCGCCCCGACCTAAGCCCTAATGATTTAATTTTTGTTTATATCATCAATCAATCTTTCCCTAAAATAAAGAATAAATTGCGTGGACAGAGATTTTCATCACCTGAAGAAGCTGTGGACGCTTACAAAACGGCCATTTTGGAGACCCCAAATTCCGAATGGAATGGTTGCTTCAATGATTGGATCCATCGTATGGAAAAATGTATCAAATTTCGCGGAGAATACTTCGAAAAGCAATAAATACATTTTTAAATAGTAATGTCACTTCCTTGATTCCCGAAATTTTCAGTGCCGCTCTCGTATCGGCATCGACTGTCTAGGAGACTGTATTATTGTAGTATTGGTAGATCTAAAATAAGAAGCTAGCTGCTAAAGACTGCAACTTTTTTCCCGTTTAACAAGCATGAGATTAAAAGTGTGATTAGGGAGTTTTTGTGTTCTTTTGCGGCGGGTCTTGCAGAACTTAGCTCCGAACGCATGGTCAGTTTCCACGTAATTTTCATTCATATCGTCCACGGCATTGCAGTCTTCTAGGCACTGAAAACAATTCTGTAACTCGAGCTGAAAGTTTTTGGGACTTTTGATTAGAGCACGAGTAGAACGGAGCGTTGACTTCATTAGATGTGATCTCTCTAACGCTTAGGTTCAGTGTGCCTCTCGACATTCGGTGATTGCTGCCAGTTTTCACCCTTGCGCTCACTGAGACATCACTGAACAGTTGCCGTCTAGTCGTCACAATGAAGTTAGTCAAATTTTTTGTAGAACCGTTAGGGCTCGACCAGGTCCACTTCCTGTGGGGTCGCTTCTGGAAGAAAAAGTTCATTTTTTTAAAGAAGAGGGAGCAAACGAGCATGCGGCTCACCTGATATTGAGTGACTATCGCCGCCCATGATCAACCGCAACACCAGGGGAATTGCAGGTGCGTTGCCGGCCCTTTAGAAAGGAGTAAGCTCTTTTCTTGAAGGACCCCAGGTCGTATCGGTCCGGAAAAATCGCCGGTAGTAAACTATTCCACAGAGAGGTTGTGCGCGGAAGAAAACTCCTTTTGAAACGTACAGTGGTGGACCGACAAGCATCCAGATGGTGTGGATGGTATCGGGAAGTTTGCCACGTAGTGCGTTCACGAAATTTGGCGGTTGGGATTAATCCGAACAATTACTCAGAGCACTCTCTATGGTATATGCGAAAGAAAATGCAAAGAGATGCAACATCTCTTCGCGGTGCCAGTGAATCGAGCCGATCGGAAAGCACTTGGTCGTCGACGATCGAGCCGCTCTGCGGTGGATGCGGTCAAGTGGAAAGAGCTGGTACTGGGGAGCCCCAGCCCAGAGATGGGAACAGTATTCCATGTGTGGCCAAACCTGCGCCTTGTAAAGTTGCAGGCGGTGTGCCGGCATGAAATACTGTCCCGCTCTGCTGAGCACGCCAAGCTTTTTAGAGGCCAATTTTGCCTTCTCTTCCAAGTGACCACGAAACTGCACGTCACTCGATATGTCGACGCCGAGGATTCCGATACTGACTAAGGCAACAAGGGGAGTGCCTTGAAACTGAGGAGATACGACAAAGGGGTTCTTTTTAGCGGTTAACGCGCAAACTTGTGTCTTCTGGGGATTAAACTGGACTAGATTTAGTCGCCCCCAATCCGAGACTCTGTTCAGCAAAGACTCGACTTCAGACACAAGTTTGTCCCGGCACTCGGAGACGTTTTCCCGAGAAATATTGGCTCCGCCGGTATAAAGAGCATCACCAGTGCTGTCATCTGCATAGCAATGAATGTTACGGGTTTGCAACATATCATTGATATGCAGAAGAAACAGCGTTGGCGATAGCACGCAGCCTTGTGGAACACCAGCATTAATAGGCTTGCAATCGGAGCTTGCACCGTCTACAACGACCTTGATGCTCCGATCTGCAAGAAAGCTGGTGGTCCAATCGCACAATTTCTCGGGAAGCCCATAGGAAGGGAGCTTCGAAAGAAGCGCTTTGTGCCAAACCCGATCGAAGGCCTTCGCAATGTCCAAACTAACGGCTAATGCCTCCCCCTTGGACTCTACTGCCCCGCTCATCTGCGAGTTTGGTAGACCAGAAGATCACCAGCTGACCGACCACGGCGAAAACCGTATTTGCGGTCACTAATCAGCTGGTGATCCTCAAGGTACCTCATGAGCTGGCAGTTTACAATGGACTCCATTGTTTTGGAGAACAAGGAGGTGATGGCGATAGGCCGGTAGTTGGACGGGTCTGAGCGGTCGCCTTTTTTAGGGATCGGGTGGACGAAAGCCGTCTTCCATGATTTTAGGACTACGCCTAGAGAGTACCGGAAAGAACGCGTTAAAACCGGTGCCAACTCTGGAGCACACGTCCTCAGTACAATTGGGGGGATTCCGTCAGGCCCACTCGACTTGTGGATGTCCAGGGAGAGGAGTGCTTTGCGAACCGAGCGCTGTGTGAACTGCACTTCCGGCATGGAGCACTCACACCGCGGGATGGTCGGCGGCGTACTGCCCCCGTCATCGAGAGTCGAGTTGGACGCAAAGAAAGAGCCTAGAAGATCGGCTTTCTCCTTTGCGGTATGGGCCAGTGAGTCGTCCTCTCTGTGCAGAGATGGAAGAGATGGCTGACGGAAATTCCCCTGGACAGCCTTAGTATAGGGCTTCGGCAGTCCGTGGTAACATGCTGGCCCATAGATTACGCTTTTTAAAGCATTTTGTCAAAACATATATACAAGCGGTCTGTGGATCAGCTACACCAAAGATTGTTACATACCCTTCGTGTCCAATATAATAATATCTTCAGAATGATGTTGAAACTTCCTCGTTTCTGCAGTACATCTGAAATGTTTGGTTTGTTTGATTTTCAGGCACTCATGCGCAAGAAAGTGGCGTCACTGATAAGCCGCGTACGGGGAAGTGACAACAGCATCCTGAGGACGTTGGCAGATGATCCACATGCACCTATATTAAGGAGCTACGTGCGGACAATGTCGGTATACGTAAATTCTTTAGATTAAATTATTATAATAATTATAGTATTACTAACCCCCTTATTACTAACCCTTATGGATCTATGTTGTCCGAAAATAAAGTGATTTGATTTGATTTGAAGTCAATTGCCGTCCGTTAGTCTCGTTAAAACTCAAAAACGGCTCGAACGGTTTTGATGATTACTTTGTGTGTAATTAATTGTGTGTGATTAATTCGTTCAAGTGCAAGATTCACACTTGAACGTTAATTCGTTCAAGTTGGACTATTGGACTATTGGAATTGGTTCTCTAACTATCTGTGTATAAAAATTTTGAGCCATTGAAAGACAAGCATCAAAAATATAATTGATAACGTAAACGATAAACTAGTACAAACTAGTTATAAATGTGTGATAAAAATACCTAAGAAAATTGCTAGGGTCTGTGTAGCCTTCTTTTCTTTCTTGGCGAACGACTTGGCTTGCAGTTTGCTGGCTCTGTTTGCACGGAATATTGTGAAGCGAGCTGCTGAAGCCGCACTCTTGAAACGTTTCGAGGAGTGGTATAGGTCGGCTTAGCTTCTTTCTGTTATAAAATATGCAAAATATTTTTATTAATTTAATTTCATCATCATCTCATCATCATCATCAAGATGATGTTGTGACCAGGATTAAGAAAGGAATGCTTCGGTGGTTTGGTCATGTGGAAAGAATGAATGAGGAAAGAGTGACAAAGAAAATTTATGTTGCAGAAGTGAATGGCAGAGTCGGAAAGGGACGTCCTAGGCGAAAATTTATCGACCAAATTGGCGATTTATTGAAAACGGGCCAAATTAGGAGTACCCTTAACCGACGAGCATGTATGCGTAGGTGTATGGATGTGAAGGAGGCGAGAGAGGTGTGTCAGGATCGTGCCAAATGGAAGTCTGTAGTCTCTGCCTACCCCTCTGGGTGACAGGCGTGAGTGTTTATGTTATGTTATGTTTATGTAATTTAATTTCACATACAGTTACCGTTATTTTTATTTATTTATTTATTCTTAATTGTGTACCTTAATTTAAAGGATTGTAAATGGCGGAATAAATGCCATTTGGCTTTCCAGAACATTATTGTATATGAGGAAAAATAAGAATGTCAAATTTCACTGCTGAATATAAGCCTGATGGATCCTGAGCCTGATGGAACTTACGAGTCAATCTATGAGAGGTTGCCTCATAGGGAGGACATTTGACATAGTTGCCACGTTTGGCAGCTTGATGGCAAACGCAGCTTCTTTCTGATTTTTATTATTAGGAAAGCTGCTGCCCATCTCCTGATTTGTTTTCTCTGTCGCCTTTTACGATACTTACGGGAAAATATGTGATGTTGATTATTCAGTATCAAATAATACATTTCGCTCTTAATATTGCCTTACAAATTTAGCAATCACAGTTAATAATATTTCGTTTTAACATTTTAAAATGTTATGTTTAAATAATGTCATTTGCAAATAAATTATTTTGTGAGCAAAATAGTGTCCAAGTTGAAAATAATATATATTATTTAGCTTTGTCTTTTACTTAAATTATAAAATAACAGATAGTCAGGAACCTGATACAACAATTTTATAAAATATTTGCTTACTTTAGCTCAGGTTTCTTAGGTACAGCATTGTTCTCTTCTTCCTTCTTATCTTCTTTTTTATTTGGGGATGGTGGGTGTGTGTTATCTTTCTCTATTTCTATGTTTGAAGGTACGTAGCCAGAATCATTGTTTGTGTTTGGATCCATCATCGGTATTGGTATCCTGTTAAAGAGAAAGTTAAAAAATAACATCCCTATTACAGCCAACAGTCGAAACTACGCAAGTTTTGTAGAAGATGCTAATCAATGAATACTTGAAGATCTAATCCAATAATGTAAAACATTCGGAGTCAACAATAACATGTAGATTTTTTTGTACCAGATGCATGAAATTTTTTTTTAAATAAAAAAGACCACCATTCACCATAAGACTTTCTTGAAGCAGTTATAAAGTATGTTTAATATTTTGTAGAAGATGCTAATCAATGAATACTTGAAGATCTAATCCAATAATGTAAAACATTCGGAGTCAACAATAACATGTAGATTTTTTTGTACCAGATGCATGAAATTTTTTTTAAATAAAAAAGACCACCATTCACCACAAGACTTTCTTGAAGCAGTTATAAAGTATGTTTAATAGTGATATTTGCGTTCACAAAGTGTAAAATATTTATACTGATTTTCATTATCTATCTAGCAATACATCTACTATGGTAGTACCGTCGTTCTTATTTCTACTGCATTTTAGTTTGAAGGTGTGCTGTGCGGCATTCATAAAGGGAAATGCGATGTGAGGCAATTCAACATGTAGTGGCAACGCATCTGCGGCGTTGTAAGTTCCCCTGGTGTTGCAGTTGTTCGTGGGTGAAAGTATCCATTCACCATCGAGCGAGCCGCATGCTCGCTTACCCACTCTAATAAAATAAAAGTAAAAAAAGTTTGGTAACTGGTTACAATCGGACGCAGTAACCACCGGTAGACCAAAAGCTTGTTCTTAATATTATAAAAAAATTCTCATAATATATAGTACCGAAAAGTCAAGTTGGAGTCTATCTTTCTTGGCTGCATCTCCGACGACAAGAAACTCACAGGAAGATATGTTAAATTTTCCAAGTTGCTGCAATTGATGTATATTTATAATACATAATATTCAATATATATTTGTATGGTTTGGCTTTAAACGCTTAATGAAATATCAATAATTTAGTACTTACAGACCAGTCTCTTCCACTACTGCAGCAAGCATAAACCTCGAAGATCGTGCGTTGGCTAACTCGTCCGCATAGACTCCCATCTCTGTGCGGTCGTAACTCGAACTGGAAGCACAGGACCTATGTTCATTATTAATTAGCATTAACAGGGCCTCGTAGGTCTAATGTTCATAAATGCGATTACCAATCATTAGGTACAGGATTCGAATTCCGGGTCGGGCCAAAACCATTTATTCGGTTTTTCTGTCAAAAAATTCTCAGTAGCAGCCCGAAGTCAGGAAGTTTCAGGCGGTGTTTCCCCTCCATGCCCGGAAAATCACGTAAAGCCGTTACTCTCAATGGTCATGAAGGATTACCATCTCATTGGACTGCGAGTGTGAGGGAATAGAGAATGCACCTGTGCCTGCGTATACACTCGGGCACCATAATCGTGTACTGCGCAGATCATCGTTGTCGTTGTGCAGTACCGCCTTTGAGACTGGCCGCCACGACCGAAATTCGATTTGGAGGACACAATTAATATTATTTAGCATGATCATCATAATGACAAATAATGATATCAATGTCCATCACGGCGACAATTTTTAAAACTGTCACAAGCTTGATAAGGCATTTAATAGTGTCCTTATCTAATGGTTCCTAATATGGTTTAAGATATTTATTTTCTTAAAAGAATTAAAATTCACTTACATGAGAAATGTACAACAGTAACATAATTTTATATTAAACGGCACGACACACAAACAGACTGATAACAAAATAAAAATACACCATTTTTTTATAGTCTAAACAAATAATGTTGATACCAAAGATTAAGATAAACATTCATGACGGTTACTTTATTTGGTTCGATCGCCGGGTGCAAAATTATTCATATACCGACTTTTAGCTTCATTTAATCGAATTTACGTTGAACAATAGAGACTGGAAGTGCTATTATGTATTTTTGATTGAGCGCAATTATTACTTGGTTGGATTGGTTGGATAATTAAATTACCTAATGAAATTTTAATAACTATATCTGTGTTTACATGTATACTTGTTAAGAATTCCCTTTTTTAATGTTTTGTTTTATTTGCTTTTTTTTATTAGTTATTAGTACATACATACATATAAGTATATTTAATTATATTTTTATATACATATATACACACATATATACATACATATAGACACATATTTATATTACTATAAAAGTAAGGCTTATTAATCATAATTTTACTAGATCGAAGCTGATATTATGCTAATTTAATAACATTTTAGCATTTTAATTTACCTACCAATATTATAACCACCCAATCAACTTAAGCACAATTTAACGAAGAAGTAAACCACCTTGATTATGTGTTTAGAAAATAATGTTTTAGTAATCTTTTAAAGGTTGTCATAGATTTGGCATCCCTTATCTCTTTTGGTAGTTTGTTGTAGATTAGGGCACCTTCATTTAAAATACATTTTTTGCCGTAGTTAGTACGTGCTGTGCGTAGTTTTAATTCTCTGTAAAGTCTTGGTCTTAGTTTTGTTATAGGTTTATTTTTTGTAAAACTTAATTCTGTGTGAATGCTTTTATTTAGTATTTTACGTACTAAAATGCAAGTATAATATTTATATGTTAGTGATATATTCATGATTTTAGTGTCCTTATAAACTTGGGCTGTTGGAGTAAGAAAGTCGTAATTATATAGTACCTTAATCAGTTTATTTTGTGCTACCTGTATTGTTTCTATATTGGTTTTTGCTGCTGTGCCCCAGACTTCTATAAGGTATTCAATATGTGGTTTGACTAATGAATTATAAATAGTGTATCGCACACTACGTGGGAAACATTTTAATATATTTCGCAGTGCGCCAGTGAGAGAAACCAATTTAGATTTAATATTATTTATATGACACTTAAATGTCATATGATTATCCAACCGGAGACCAAGGTATTTTTTATTATCTACTTTAGAAATTGGTTCACTATTTATTGTGAGAGGCTTATAGTTACCAATTTTTTTATTTTTTGATGTAAAAAATACGTAGTGTGTTTTAGTAATATTTGTAGTTAGACGGTTAGATTGAAACCACATATTCAATGTGTTGAGATCTGATTGGGCATCGGTAATCAATTCGTTAATTGAATATCCATAGTAAAACAGACTTGTGTCGTCTGCATATAATGTAATATTACCTTTTAATCCAATATCCTTAATACTATTGATGTAAATCAGAAAAAAGCAGTGGTCCTAATATGGAACCTTGCGGTACTCCAAAAGTTATTAATTTTGGTTCACTTTGATTAGAGCCAATCTTTACTACTTGATATCTATTGGATAAATATGAAGCAAAAATTTTCAATGCAGATCCGGAAATACCCATATATTTCAATTTACACAGTAACAGTTCATGACTAACTGTATCAAATGCTTTTTTAAGGTCTATAAAAATACCGAGTGCTATTTGTTTTTTGTCTATGCCAACTTTGATTTTTGTGACTAAATCTATTGTAGCTGAAAGAGTGTTCAATTTCGGTCTAAAGTCATATTGTTTATCGTATCATATTTTTTTAGAATTTAAATGGTTTGCAAGACGATTATATAACACACGCTCGAAAATTTTGGATAGTACTGGTAATATTGAGATTGGTCTGTAATTTCCGGGATCTGATCTAGTTCCTGTTTTATATATCGGAGTTACTTTTGCTACTTTTAAACTGTCTGGAAATACGCCTTGTTCAAAGCAGTTATTGATGCAGTTTACAAGCTCATCAGCAATTATGTTCTTGATACATTTTATAGATTTCGTACTTACCCCGTCTAATCCAGTGCTAGTGTTAGGATTTAAACCATCTATAATTTTGTCGATTTCGTGTAGAGATACGGGTGGCCAATAGGATATAACATTACTTCCAGTTTCGATAATTATTGCGTCTAATACAGTTTGATTAACTTTAGGTATTTGATTTGCCAGGATTGAACCAATATTTGAGAAAAAATAATTAAAACATTCACAGATAGCTTTATCCTCACTAACGACAGATCCCACATGCGTGATCAGTTTATTTGGAGCAGTAGTTTCTTTGATCTTGTTATTTGATAGATTGTTGATCAGTTTCCACATTTTTGCTGGTTTGTGTTTACAGTCTTTAAACACCTTATAGTAGTATTGACTTTTAGTTTTTTGTATTATATTGCTTACTTCATTTCTTTTCTTCACGAAGTTATCTCTTGTACTTTCATTGTCTGGATTAGTTTTATATTTGTGCCATAATTTGTTTCTTGCGTTTATTTCGTTTAAGATATCTTTGTTAATCCAATCTCTTCTTGGTAGGTTGAGGAATTTGATCTTAGTGTCTTTGCTTTTATTTATACTAGATAAGATTTTTTCTTCCAGTTTTACATATTCACAATTATTACTGTTTCCAGTTATTGTATTATACAATTTGGTGTAGTTTATTGATTTATATTCATATTTTGATACCGCATCTTGCTTATACTTCTTGATTTCAAAATAGATCTGTTTGTGATCAGACATAGCTGATTCTATTATAGCAAGGTGAAATTGTTGTTCTTTGAGACTCGTGCTGACATGGTTTATAATAGTATTCGCAGAAGAAGTTACGCGTGTAGAGTATTCGGGGTCAATTTTATTTAATAATTTGTAGCCACACTGTTCCAACATTTCCATATACATCGAAGTTGTACGTTCTTGAGATGATAGGTCTACATTGTAGTCACCAAATACCACTGCCCTTCTGCGCGATTCCAATTTTGTTGAATATGTTTCTATGAATTTATTAATATTGCTGTTGTCGGGTTTTCTATAGATGACACCCACATCCAGTGAATACTTGTCAACATGTATCCATAGATAATGATTGTTATCAAGACATTGTTCTTCTATAAGATTATGTTTCATGATATTGTGTGTGAAGATTGATACTCCACCACCTCTGCTACTAGGTCTAAAGTTATAGTAATGGGTATAACCACATATCTGAAATTGTTTAGCTTCCTCTTCACACTTTATCCAGGTTTCCGTTATCAAAATTAAGTGAATCGTAAATTTAAAATATTTTAAAATACATATTAGTTCGTCAAATTTGCCTGCTTTAACTATACTGCGTGCATTGACATACAGGCATTTTAAGGAGTCTTTTGTCGTTATGATATTCTCATACTGAGAAGCTAGTTGGTAAGAAATATTTTTAGAGATTGGAATTTGATTATCATAGAATTTTGTTAGTTTTTTTGGCTTAATTTTAACTATTTTAGGTATACCTTTGTTGTATTTGATAGTTAGGTTCATCTCTCCATTGTCCTTACGATGTTTCAACTCTTCTTTAAGTTTTTTGTAGAAAGATTGTTGTTGAGGCGTTTGATCTGGGAAAATTTTAATGGGATTCAGTTTTTCATTACTTTTAGAACGTATTACAAAAATAGCTTCTTCTGGTGTTGAGAAACACACTTTGAGTAGACGTTGCTTGTCTGGCGCATACTTTCCCAGGCGTGTTATACTTTTTGGTTCTGTACAATCTTTTGAGATCTTTTTTAATAAACCAAGTACTTCTCTCTTCTCAGCCTCTTTTCTATCTTTATAGTCAGATATATTTGTTTCCATTAATCCAGTTATTATGATATTCTTGCTTCTAACCAATCGATCAGAAAGTTCTGCCATCACAGTTTCTTCTATTGTGCTACTAACGGTTGTTGTGGTAAGTGGATCTATTAGTTTTGTACTTTGAAGGTTTTTTAATTCAGAGTCTAACGTTTCTATTTGTTTATCTTTTTCATTATATTTACTGATCAAGTTCTCTATATTACGCTTTATTTTCTCATTTTCGAATCGGAGATTATCTATCTCGGTCTTAAGATCTTTTACATGTTCTTTCAATGAACTTACATCTTCCGATATCCTGTTTATGGCTTCCGTTTGATTCGCGTTAATTGAGGTAAGAACTTGCATCATTTCTGCCATTCCCTTTCGTATTTCCCGTAATTCTTCTTTAATATCTTGATCACCAGAGTATTTCCGCTTACTACGAAATGTAACTTGTGGTGCTGTAGAAACGTCTGTGGTTGACTCTCCCGTCGACAAATTGGGCTGTGAACCACTAAGTCCGGTGCCTATGCCACTTCTAGTAGGTGAGCGTATTGGCATCATGTTGATCTGTGACGCGTGTATTCACTCGCAGCGTACTTAGCAGAGTAATGTCACAACAGCGTAGGGGAGTGTATGCCGATTTATAATATGCACCTTATTAACTTAAGAATTAAGGTCGTTTAAGCATATTTATATTATTTTTGTAATTAAGACCGATAACACGTCCACTTTGTTCGGTGTCGCGCACTACTCTTGCTATGTAATGTAACTCTTATCCTGTAAAATTTGAGGTCATCGAGATCTAGTAATAGGATCGTTTGAATTGTAACTGATATTGAAATTCTGTGTTTTCACATCATCAGTCCGCTAATAGTTTATTATTGTACTTCTACCATCGACGCCTCGTTTGTTAGATGGATAGACAGATTTTATAACTCACCTTTAGCGAGAACAAAAAATTATAATTCTAAAAATTAAAATTAATTATATTCCGGTTAGAATTTGAAAGTATATGCCAAAATTTATTAGAAATTCATTTTTAGAGTATATTGTGTGACCGTGATAGGAAAAGGGGATATCTCTCGTCGGGCAAGATGTTCTGCCCGGGGAGCGGCCAACGCTTCGTGTGATAGTTCGGAGCTATTTTATGTATATACTGTTTTTAATTCGGAACTCTGATAGTGCGATTTAGACTTCCATGTGTTTTGCTTGTGGTGTGACGACAGCGCCGCCACATCACCCCCCTGGTCAGATAGGAGGTCGATATTGCAGTCCGATTGCCGGTGCGTCCTTAACGCCGGTGGGGAATGCATGCTGTGTGCGTAAGCTCAAGTGATGCTGGTGAGAGCGATATGCCGGTCTGTAATGCATGCCGTACTACGCACTTGCAAGAGATGCCGGTGAGAACGACGTGCCGGAGAAAGTGCCAGAAGTCTGCCTTATAAATTTGCGGTGACTCGAGATGAAGACAAGTTGAACTGGCTTGCAGTTGCAGGATCTGAAGACTGCAGAAGACGATTCTCAGTGGTGAATGGTGGCGGTTCTTGAGAATAATGACGAAGGCTTAAAGTTGTAATTGCTGAAGGCTGTTGGTTGCGTATTCAAATCACGCCGGTTGGTCACCACTGTTGCCGAGAAGGGAAAGGGGAGATCTCCCGCCAGGCAAGGTGTTCTGCCCGGGAAGCGGCCAACGCTCCGTGTGATAGTTCGGAGCTATGCTACATATATACTATGTTTAATTCGAAACTTTGATAGCACGATTTAGGCTTCGATGTGTTTCGCTTGTGGCGACAACTGCTTAGACAAATGTTGATATTTTAATTAAAATTAGATCGAAAACGGATTATATAAATTCTCGAAAAGTACTATAACACAAGTCATTCATGATTTATTACAGACTATCAATATCAAGGCTTCATCGCATAGATTGCCTCATAGAAATATATTTTCAAAGTTGCCACACTTTATTATTTTGTGTTATTATCTGGTACTGCCTATCTCCGGTATTATTTCACAAGTTGATATGGGATAGCGGATTCTCTTACGTCGTTCTATTTTATTTTATTTATTTTTGTATACTTTATTGTACACTTTAATAAAAGGAATTCCAAAGGCTGATGGTGGACTTTACTTTCTCTTCCAGCGAACCCGAGACGTGTGAAAATAATGTGATAATTGCCAAAAAACACCATAAGTAAATCAGAAAAAACAAAATTATATGGCTTATATAACACAAAGTTTCTCACTTTTAATCTTCCTCATCTCCGTTGCTTTCAGAAGAAGTGTTTGTTGGTTTATCTTCTTGCAAAGTACATCCACTGTCATTAAGGCGGTTTTTTGTCAGCCTCGTTCTCAATGACTACTGCTGCAGTCCCGCTGGAAATTGTGGAGCCGATGGCCGATGAGGTTTTCTTGGCAATACGCTGCTTTTTTCGCTCTTTTGCGGATAGCCTTAAAAATATTATATTTTTAGTTTTCCAGATAATCTGTTTTGTAATTGTGTGCGATATATAAAAATTGATCAAGAATATATATAGAATGTAGATTTAACCGATATAAATAATAAATAGAATAATTTGCGTTAATTTTAGTAATTATTTTTTATTTTTATTACTGTTCATTAAAATTATTCAGAATCAAAAATAGGTGGAGGTTCAATTCAACCGTATATTCCTTTTTCATCACAATTGACTAAATCATCGCTTAACATACATACAGTATGTTAAGCGATGATTTAGTCAATTGTGATTTTATTTGGATTATTCTTCAATTTACAGGAAAATTCCACCACTGAAGGTGAAAAAGGTAGGGTTTCAAATTTCAATGTAAATATTACGACTGCATTCTAGTTATTACCTTGAGCTTGTGATATTTTTAGCCATCTTGAAAAGATTTTACCATCAATAAAATGTAATAGCTGACTTTAAAGACCTAAAACGAAAAGAAAAAGTTGCATTCTATTCACTATTTCTGAGCACCGACGTCTGTAGAGAAGCGCTTTAAAATTAAGAATATTAACCGATAGAAGTATATACCGTAACCCTAAAAACTAACTACTACTTTTTAATTGTTCTTTGGTGAAAGTTCAGAGGCCTAAAAAGTTAAAGCGATCGAAGTGGAATTAATTTTAATAATAATGTACTAGTATTTTGTTATACCAAACATAAATTACGTTTTAAAAATACATCGGTTAGTTGTTTTAGATTTTAAAAAGCCATTTTAAATTAAATTTAGCTGACCTTAAAAATGTTATAGTACAGAAATATCATTATAATGCACGGTATGTAGAAGGATCCCAGCGAGGAGTAGATGACGTAATCAGTGTTATTGAAGAGACAAGCGTTGGGAGTGCGGTCTGGCGTATTGTTGAGACCCAAGACTACGGGCGAGCCGATCGCGCATGAGACCAGCCAGGCCACCCCGATCATGAGCCACACACGGGCGTTACTCTTGTGCTTGGCGTATTTTATTGCTTGCGTTACTGCGATGTATCTGTAAAGAGAACAAATAATGAAAAAATCGCACTACATATATTAAAAAAGGACGAGGAGGTGGGTGTCGTTAGAGGTGACAAAGGAAAACAAACCAAGAGATGGGTAACAGCGTATACGTGGTAGTGCCACGTATATTATGGTTATACCACGAATGGGTCGACTCACCTAGGCAAAGATCATGCTCTCACAGAATACCAACGTAAAACAGCAGCTTAATGCTGATGTGTTTGTATGTTACTCACCAGAGAGTGTAAAACTGAAGACCCTTTTTACTGAAAACGGCACATACAAACGAAAACGTAATGAAATGAAATGAAATTATTTATTTGCGTTTGGTTAAGGTACACTGAAGATGGTTATACTAATTAAACGTCCGCTCAATCAGCCATTATTAATAGCATGCAAATCTTACAAATTAATAATGAGATAATAATATTTGTAAGTAAAGTGTAATTACGTATCGTAGTTTAAATATTACTCTACACTTTGAAATAATACTAGTTTTTACGGAATTTATCGCGTATATTTAACTTTTTAAATACCCGACGTTTCGAACGCTTTACAGCACTCATGGTAACGGGCAGGACTGAGATGTTCAACGTCCATATGTCGTAGTTAACCGCGGTTACCATAGATTAAAATTTTAACTTTTGTTCCGATCTATGCAGTATGAACTTATGGTATCTTGAAGTCTTGCAGTTGTATGCTTGGGTTTGGAATTAAATTTTATTTATTATAGGATCCCAAGCAGATGGTAGCACCTAGCCATCTTCTCTATTGACATTAGGATGTTTTTTGATTTCAATAGCCTCGCGAATCATCCTTGGAAGGAATCGGTGTTCTTTAGCGAGGATCTGCGGTCTATCAAATCTGATGTAGTGATGGGGGCGATCCTGTACGTGTTCACAGACTGCAGACTTCCCGGAGCGTGATGTGAAGAATAGATCGGAACAAAAGTTAAATTTTAATCTATGGTAACCGCGGTTAACTATGACATATGGACGTTGAACATCTCAGTCCTGCCCGTGACCTTGAGTGCTGTAAAGCGTTCGAAACGTCGGGTATTTAAAAAGTTAAATATACGCGATAAATTCCGTAAAAACTAGTATTATTTCAACGTGTAGTGTTCGCGTAAATACAAGAAATCATTACTCTACAGTATAAAAAGCCTTTTCACTGAGCCATTTGTATAATTCTCTTTTAAATTTAATGACAGGTAGGTCTTGAATTACTTGTGGTATCTTATTATATACTATTCATACACATCCAATAGTAATTTTTATAGAATCTCGCACTCTTGGGTATTATAGTGAAAACCAACCTATTCCTATTTCTAGTGCCTCGTTTGTAAGTCTTTGTCTTGTAATACAATACATATTGTTTTTTACAAATTTCGCCGCTTCAAAAATATATATACAAAGAAGTGTTAAAATTTTCAAGGATTTAAACAAAGGTTGACATGGCTCGTTAGGTACAGTACCACATACACCTCTAACATACTTTTTTGTGCAATGAACGTCTTTTTTTATGTCTGTGCTATTACCCCATATAATGAGTCAGTATCGTAGGACTGATTCAACGTAAGCGAAGTACGGAATAAAGGCTGTTATACGAAGAACTTTAAGATTAAAATAAAATACGGATTAAAAAAATAAATGGTCTTTGATTATTTTATATCTATTGACAAAGCCAAGGAAGGCCAATCATTTTAAATTTTCAATAAAATGATGCTGTAAGTATGAATGAACTTTGCCAATAAAGATTATTATTAAATGAAAGTGACTAAGAAGTGAACAGTAGATCTTGACACAACAGCTGTCCGTGGTATCCTGCTAGTAATCACAAACGAAAATGCTACCGAAGTTATGTTGTCACCTAAGAGAACTACGATGCCTGATGTACTAGCTTTCCACATCCTTTTGAACTTGAAACGAAGTAATGGATGATGGCAGAAGTAGGTAAGAGGATATTTGCCATAGTTGCCACGCTTGGCAAGCGGGTTGGCAACCGCAGTTCTTTATTTTTAGTCGATATTAGGAAGACGTTGCTGCCAATCTCCTAATTTGT